CTTCTGACACAGAGTTTTCGCAAGTGCTTCTGGCTCTGTGCTACACTTGTCCTCACAGTACCCCTGACAGCAAGTTGGGCATATGGGGAAACCAGCCAGACTCAGAGAGCTGAGGTCAGTTGCACAGAGTGACATGGCCAGCAGGACCACAACAGGCTCCGTCAGTGGCACCCACACAGGCCTTCCACTCGCTGAGCATCTCGGCCATGGCTGAAGCCTCTGCGTCGTCCAGTGCAGTGTCTTCCTTAGGGGGAGGGGGGGCTGGTCCTGCTCTGCTCCTTGCCCTGGACGGGCCACATGGGCCTGGTGACCTTGGTATCCAGGGCTGCACTCCTAGGATTGGAGCCTTCCCCGAGCCACTTCCTGCACACCCTTGGGCAGGGGCTCCTGACCCCCTGTGGTGCCCACGCTTTGAGGAAAGAGGGAGAGGGTTGTCTGCTCATGGACAAGACCCTGTGTGTCAGCCGAGGGCTACCGGGCCAAACAACCCCCAGACCAAGGACTGCCTGGAAGTGAGGAGCCCTGCGGAGGCCTCAGGGCCACAAGCTGCCTTTGCCAGGGCCAGCTAAGAGCCTCTTTGAGAGTACGTTGCAGCCAGACCCTTCTGGAACAACAGCTTCTTCCTGGGGTGGTCTCTGCTCCAAATGCTATAAGGGGGTACTGCTGGCCTGGCGCCCACTCCGCCTCTGTCTCTCACGGAAGCCTCCACACCCCGGTAGAAGCTGAGGTCAAGCAGATGCGCTGGGCTAGGGGAGCCTCGTTCCCCTCCAGACCAAGGAGAAGTTCTAGCAACAGATCTGACCAGCAGGAGCCAACATGCTTCCTCTTCACTGTCTGGAAGGGCACGTGGGCCCACACATGCCTCTCAGGCCCACGATGCAGAAGCATCTTCATGTGCAGTTGTTCTCTGGGGCTGTCTACCTTTCTGGGGGGCATATGGCAGAGTGGGGGAGGTGGAGAACTCTAGGTTCCTGCTGTTCTGTTTCTGCATCCTCGCTGTGCGACTCCTGACAGCCCCACCAGCCCTCAGGGCCAGAGTCCCTCCTCTGCCACGTGAAGACAATGGTATCCACACACAGATGACCACAAAAGCAGCTACAAAGCTCAAATAGGATATGATACCCTTTCGTTTGCTCGACACACATTTGTGGAGTGCCTGCTCTGTGCCAGGCACCGTTCCAGGCAGAGGGGTGGTCTCACTTTGTGAGCAGAGCTGAAGAGCAACCTCTAGCCCGTCTGACTCCTGCACTGTCTGACTCCACTGCATGCTGTTGCTTTCTTTAAAAAACAGCTGATAACAGAAAGCAACTGATAATTTAATACAACCATATCTATCTATTAACACTTAGAAATTACTTCTCTACAAAAGTACAGAAACAACTGAAATTGCAACAATTACACACCAATATCCTAGTGATTGTCAGTATATGTAATTCACCCATCATTCACATGTAGGACCCTGGGCTTGCAAATGGTGGTGCTAAATAAATGTATGCTGAGTAGATTAATGGGGAGGTCCACTGAGCTCCAAATAACGTTAACTCCAGAGAGTGGACGACTCCATTGATTTCAACAAATGTCTGGTTCAGGCCTCTGACTGCTCACCAGCCCAGACACTCCATACTGATCCCCACTTCCAGCCTCAGCAGCTGGGGCATGCAATAAGTCAGTGGCGAAGGAATCCTCTCAGCAGGGACAGGACTGTCAAGGAGTGGGCAGAAGGCTTTGGAGGAAGACTTCATCTTCTCTACATCTGCCAGCCATTGACCACCAAGCAGACACCAAAACAAACCTGTAACTCTCAAACAACACAGCACGATGACAGGCACCGTGGCACCAGCCAACTGCTCAGGAAGGGTGGGGGGGTCCTGTGACAGTCTTCCACCGTACAGTCGCAGCTTCCCACACCTCTGGGGACTACCAAGAACCTTGATGGGGCACGCAAATGGAGTCCACAGTCTTGGGAAGCACTGGGCGTCTGCTAGCTAGTGCCACCATGATGCTAAAAACAAATTGCCCCAAAACTTGGTGGCTCAAAATAACCACCATTTCTTAGCTTTCATGAGTCTACAGGTGGGTGGGGGATGCTCCTACTTGAGCTGAGCTTGCCTGATCTAGTCTAGGCTCACTCTGTAGTCTGTGGGCTGCAGGCAGCTCAGCAGGGAGCTGGCTGGACTAGGGGACTGCGCTGCGGTGACCTGGCTCTCCTCCATGTGGTGTCTCATCCTCCAGCAGCCACATCCGGGCTCACCGATGCAGTGTCAGGACTATAAGGAAGAGAGCAAAACTTCTAGCCACCGCAGCTCAGAACACGCAGAGCACTACTTCTGCCACATTCTCCTGGCCAAAGCAAGCCGCTCGGCCAGTCTGGACTCAAGGGGTGGAAAAAAGGGCTCCCCCTCTGGATGGGGAACGCCGAACAGTCACATGCCAAGAATGCAGAGGCAAGGCCAGGCGCGGTGCTCATGCCTGTAATCCCAGCCCTTTGGGAGGTCGAGGTGGGCAGATGACTTGAGGTCAGGAGTTCGAAACCAGCCCGGCAACATGGCGAAACCCCATATCTACTGCATACGCCTGTAGTCCCAGCTACTCGGGAGGCTGAGGGATGAGAATCACTTGAACCCGGAAGGTAGAGGTTGCAGTGAGCAGAGATTATGCCATTGCACTCCAGCCTTGGCAACACAACCAGACCCTGTCTCAAAAAAAAAAAAAAAAGAATGTGGAGGCAGGTAGGGTGGGGAAGTGAAGTGAAGCTGTTTCACAATCACTCTATGGCACCCCATGGTCCCTTCTGCTAGATGAAGACACTGGGATTTGCTTTTCACTCAACACACCCTTTGAGGCACACTGCCGGGGAACCCAAACCAAGACACCTCCATTATCATGGCCTGAACTTCCAGCTGAAGTTGAAGGCTAGGCTGTCCCATCATGGCAAGGGACACAGATTTCCATTTGAAAAGGTGATGTGATGATTACTTTAAAATAACTGTTTTCCCCTTCAAAAACTATTTGTGGGAAAATATTAAATAAACAGAAGCATTCCAAGCATCCATCAATGGAAGAATGGACAAACAAAATGCAGCCTATTCATACCTGGGACTATGATTCAGTCTTACAAAGGGAGGAAGTTCTGGGCCGCGCTGCCACATGGGTTAACCTTCAGGGTGTGCTGCAAAGTGAAATAAGCCAATCACTAAAGGCTGAGAGCCACAGGGCTCCACTGATCTGGCACACTTGGAGTAGCCAAAGCCATAGGGACAGGAAGTGGGGTCAGGGTGCCAGGGGCTGGGACAGGGGAGTAAGGGGCTAGTGTTTCATGGGGACAGAGGCTCAGTCTGGGAAGAGGAAAACATTCTGAAGATGGACAGTGGGAATGATGGCCCATCGTGTGGCCCAGTGGACCTAATGCCACTGGAGTGCACAACGAAAAGCAGCCAAAATGGTCAATTTTATGTGATGTGTACTTTGCCACAGGGAAAAACAAAAAAGCAAAAAAATAAATAAATAAATAAAATAAAACCGCAGTAGTACAAAGGAAACATAGCTATGAAACATAGATACGGAAAGACTGTGGCAGCAGGCGGCAGACACCTGTTGCTCCAGCGTCTCATCTACTTTAAGTCCCCCACCTGGACAGCCCAGCTGCAGCATCCAGCGCCCTAACTCGGCGACCCCATGCCCAGTGTGGGCCACGGCATGCAATCCAAGGCCACGCTCCTCAGGCGGCCTCTGCCTGTGCCCCAGCTCCATGGATATCCAGTCAGATCAGAGGCTTTGCTAACTGGTGGCTTGTTCATGAGCATACTGATGTAAGAATGGGTTTTCTGGTCGGGGCTGATGTCCCATCCCAGCAGATTACTACAGACGCCTCCCTCCCTGCACGGGTCGGGCATGAACAGTGGGCTATGAGCCCTGCCATCCATCCTGATGCAGGGGACATAGTGGGGCCCCACCCCGACCTGACTCCCTCACTCCTCCCAGACACCCCCAGGATGTGCTGGGGTTTCTCTGCTGCCATTCCGATCCCATCTCATAACATGACAATCTGAAAGTCAGCCCTGCTGTCACTTCCTCCACTGTCCCGTCTCTGCTCTGTCGGGGACAGCCGAGGTATGCACCACAGCCCCTGGATGAATGTTGTGGCTACTGTGGCCTCACCTCCCTGGTGACCCTCCTCGGGATGAGGCCTGACCCTGCCTTGGCTGATAAAAAGCTCACTATGGTTAGGCTCCACACCGTCAGCTGGGACTTGGCTCTCTCCTTCTTTTCTTCAGCCTCAAGCTAAAGCAGATATTTATCTCTCATAATTTTCACTCCATGAGCCTTCGCCCTGCAGTTAGGGGCATCAGAATCACTTATAGTCTCGATGCCATCACGCCAGCCGCCTTCTCACTTATGAGTCAAGTGCAAATTTGATAAGTGAGCTTTCATGGTCTCCATTTGGATCTGGATCTGGAGGGGGACTGGGGACTTCCTTCGGGCTGTTGATGCCCCCAGCCACCTCCCGAGGCACAGGCATTGCAGGCACTGTTCCCCACTGCACAGCCCCCATCTTCCCACAAACACACTGTGGGAGCCCTGCCTCCTGTGGCCTAAGGAGATGCGCTTACTGGGCCTGTCTTCCTGAGGTTCCAGTGGGCTTTTTGTCCAGGACCGTGGGCCACTGATCATAATCCTCTCCTGCCTCGTGCCTGCGGTCAAGTCCAAGCTCATGGGAGTGTGGGTTTGGATGTCAAAACGTACCCTACAGGTTCTTAAGGTTGCCTTGGAGTCACTACGTTTGGGGGCTCTCCCGTCCATCTACCCTCCAAAGGCTGCAAAGCTGGGTTCTGAAACCTCCCAGACCGCAGGAAGGGCGAGCTCTGGGCTTGGAAACCTGGGCTCTTTCCAAGTGGTCAGACCCCCATCATGTCCCCAAGGCTGTTGGAAATCCAGCATCTGCGTGGGTTCAGGAGGAAGCTGGGGTTTTGCCCTTTGTCTTCCTCACAGACAGTTCCGGCCACACCACTGCCTCTCAACAAAGAAGGCATCTTTCAGCTGGCGTTTGAGGCTTCCCAAGCTCTGGCCTTCCTGGCCTCATCCCCCATCCCACCTTCCCCCTGACTCCCACCTGTGCCCAGATCCTGTGAAAACTAGAGTCCCTCTGGTTTCCAGTCAGGCTCACCCTCAAAACCTGCCCCCAGTTTCCCCTGGGAGTAGGTAGAATAGTCACCCCTTCCTTGGCTCTGATCCTCTCCCACTCCAAGGCCTGTCTGTACCATCCCCTTCCCCAGGAGGCCATTCCTGGCAGCTCCAAATCACATACACAGTCCTGCTCCCTCGGCACCCTTTGTGACTCCTGGAATGAAAGTAGTCCCCTTAGAGATCATGCGAAGGTTAAATAAAGTGCTGTAAGTAAAAATCTAGAGATAGCCCCTGGTGTGGCTCACACTTATTGAGCGTGTGGTACAGACCAGGCTACTTTTATTGTATGCATGTTATAGATGAGGAAACTGGAGTGCAGAGAGGCTATGTCACCTGCCAAAGGTTACACAGCTGCACAGAGAGGCTAAGTCACCTGCCAGAGGTCACACAGCTGCACAGAGAGGTTAAGTCCCCTGCCAGAGGTCATACAGCTGCACAGAGAGATTGGGTAACTTGCCTGGGGCCACACAGCTGCACAGACAGGTTAAGTCACTTGCCTAATGTCAGAATTGGTCAGTGCAGAGCTGGGTTGGACCCAGGCACTCTCACCCCAGTTCATGGTCGTGATCCCATTTCCCCTCTGACTCACACTGTGGCCAGAGTCTGTCTCTCATCACTGGAACTCACTGTTGGGTCTCAACTCTACCTCACAAAGGGTGGGACTTTGATGTGCAGTTATAGAAAAGAAGGAAACTTCCTTTGGGGGAAATTCTTATGGCTTCAAATGCTTTCACTGAAGAGAGTTTATTCTATTTCCATCCCTCAGTCATGCTCATCGGCTTCTGTTCCCTTACTTCAGTCACATTCTGAGCCAGTAGGAAGCTGTGACGGAGTCTGCCAGTCTTGGGCCTGAAGCCTAGCTGTTGCTATGTGACCCTAAGCAAACCACTCCATCTCTCTGGGGCTTGGTCTCCTCTTCTGAAAAACCAGGTGGGAGAGGCTGGGTCAAGGGGAGTGTAAGGTGAGACGGATAAGGCACGAGCACAGGAGTGGCTGTGAGGAAGCAGAGGAGGAGGACACCCACGAGCAGACGCTGCGGCCGTCATCCTCTTGGGGCAGGACTGATGCCAGGAACTCAGCCATGTGAAGACCCCCACAGGTTTCCATGGCAACTTTGCCACTATCAGGTGGATGCCCAAGGGCTGGCGGTTAGCCTCCCTGGGCTCAGTTTCCCCACCTGTGAGGTGAGGGCCCGTGAGCTCCATTGCTGCCTGTGCAGCTGAGGTTCTACGATTTTGCCTTTGACGTGGAGCCGTCTTATTTTTGTGGCTGCCGTGGTGACTGTTTCACAGCACGGCTCCACATTGCCGTGAGCAGGACACAGGTATGACATCTCCTTCTTAGCCTTTCTAGGGCCTGTCACGTCTTTCAGGGGACACAGCAAACAGTAAAACTCTGCAAACTCAACGAAGACCAGCTGGGTTTGAACCAGCCACGCAGGGGAACCTCCAGGGGTGGTGGGAACAAAAAGGGCGAGATAGCTGAGGCTTAGCAGCACACAGAGGAAGCGCCGGCCCCGTGTGGGACGACAGAGGCTAGGACAAACGCAGGGGCCTGGTGTGACAGCACGGGAACAGCAGTGCCACAGCGTTGTCTAATGGACAGTTGTCATCGAGTCCTGTCGGCCCCACTTCCTTGTTTTTTTTGAGGCGGACTCTCGTTCTGTCGCCCAGGCTGGAGTGCAGTGGCTCGATCTCGGCTCACTGCAACCTCTGCCCCCACCACCCTCCACGCCCTGGTTCAAGTGATTCTCCTGCCTCAGTCTCTGAGTAGCTGGGATTACAGTCATCTGCCACCTCACCCGGGTAATTTATTTATTTATTTTTTAGTACAGACAAGTTTGCCCATGTTGGCCAGGCTGGTTTCAAATTCCTGACCTCAGGTGATCTGCCTACCTCAGCCTCCCAAAATGCTGGGACTACAGAGCCACCGCACCTGGCTGGCCCCACTTTCAAGGGATGTTCAGAACCTAGCCCTTCCCTCCACCTCTGCTGCCACTCTTCTGGTCCCACCTCTGTCATCACTTGCCTGGACTGTTGCAGTGGCCTCTCTGGGCTCCCTTCCTGCACCCATATGCCTGAGTCCCTGGCCCACACACCAACTAGAGGACTCCAGGTTCCTATCACTCATCCTCTGCCAGAAGAGGCTCCCTGCTGGGGAGAAAGGCAGATTCCTCCAGGGCCCTGTGTGAACTCCTGCTCCCTTGAACTCTGAGCTCTCACCTCTTCTTACCCTCCCCAGCTTCCCCTAAGCCACACCAGCCTCCCTGTCATTTCCCAATGTGCCAGGCACCTGCCGGCCTCAGGCCTTTACACTGGCTGAGCCCCCGGGCAGGACCAGCTCTTCCAGGATGCGCACACGGCTCACTCGCTCGCTTCCTCCAGGCCTCTGCCTTCCCTCTAACACACCAACACCACCCACCGACCCCAGCCCCGTCTTTCTCCTAAGCACATTTCCAATCGAACACATTCGACATATGATCTCTATTTACCATCATATTGTCTGGCTTTCCTCACTGAAATGGGAACGCTGAAAACAGGAATTTTCTTGTTTTGTGCACTGTGGTAACTGGTCAGCCACTGGAACAGGGCCGGCACATGGGAAGCTCAATAAATATTTCTTGAATACGTGAATGAATCGTGTTTGCTGAAAGAACCTTCACACTCAGGGATACTTTAAGTATTGCTGCAATTCCTGGCCAGCAAGATGCAGTGGAAAACCTTGAGAAGAGGACCCAGAAGGAAACCACAATGTTTACACACCAGCATCCAAAAGACTGAAATATGCCAGCTCAGAGCTGGAGCCCGGCCAAGGAGGACAAAGGTCCTGACAAGGACTGCACCATGCAGAGGTCACTGCCCCTACCTGGGGTACGAGACTGACTATAGGCAATTCAAAAATATTCTGATGAGACAGTCAATGTGCCAAAGAAGCTTCCTGACAGGAGGGAGTGAGCCAAGGCAGCCTAGCCAACTAGGAGGGTTGAGTGACAACCACAGATCCATGCCAGAATTAGAGGCCTGGCAGGAGGTTTCACAAAGGCACCTCCCGGGTGCTGAGTGCTAAGACCACAAAGCCAAAAAAATGAGGTTTCTGACCTCATGTAGCTCAAAGCTTAATAAGGACAACAGCAGCAGCAGAGTAAGTCCAGTGCTCGCTATGCACCACATAGTAATTTTTCCCCAATTTTTTATTGTGGTAAAATACACACAACACAAAATGTATCATCTTAGTCATTTTCAGGTGTCCAGTTCAGCGGATTAAGTACCTTCACAGTGCTGTGCAACCATCACCACATCCATCTCCAGGACTTTTTCATCCTCTCAAATTGAAGCTCTGTCCCCACTAAACATGAACTTGCCCATCCCCCTCCCCTCAGCCCCTGGCATCCACCCTTCTGCTCTCTGTCTATGAATGTGGCTACTCCAGATCACCTTATAAGGGGATCATATGGATCTGCCCTTTTGTGGGCAGTTTGTGTCGTCTGGCACCTGCCCCGGAGGTTCCTCCACATTGCAGCACGTGTCGGAAGGTCCTTCCTTTTCAAGGCTGGACCATCTTCCACTGCATGCACAGACCACAGTTTGTGAATCTGCTTATCCGTGGTTGGGCCCTAGGGTTGCTTGCATCTTCTGGCTGCTGTAAATAACGCTGCTATGAATGTGGGTGTATCTCTCCCACACCCTGCTTTCAATTCTTTTGGGCGTGTGCCCACACATGGGATTGCGGGATCCAATGGTGAGTCTACGGTAATTTTTTAGGAACCACCACAGTGTTTCCACAGTGGCTGCGCCATTTACATTCCCACCAACAGTACACAAGGGTTCCGATTTCTCCACATTTTCGCCAACAGACTTCTTATTATTTATGTTTTTGATAGTAACCATCCTGGTGGGTGTGAGGTTGCATCTTATTGTGGCTTTGACTGGATTTCCCCTGATGATGTCGAGAAGGACAAGAAAGTCTTTAAAGTGCTTTGAAAATATTGACTCACATAAGCCCCCAACAACCCTATGGGATAGACACCACTGTTATCCCCATGTTACAGATTTAATGTCTCACTGAGGCAGAGAGAGGGTTAGTAACTTGCCATAAGGTACAGAGGCTAATACCATGGGTGCAGAGCCGGGATTTGAACTCAGAGTGTCAGACTCCACACTGAGTGTAAGAGTGGCCAGAGAAGGGGCGTGGCGCCCCCAGTCAGCAGGTTCCTCCCCAGAAGCAATCATCCCCTGAGGCCGCTCAGCGAGATGGCGGCTGCTGAATGGTGCGGTGACGCTGGGTGGGGTCGGAAGAGCTCACGCCAAGGCTGAACGAAGCTTGGGTGATACTGCGCTTTCAACGCATTTCCCTGCTGCCACAGAGAAAACTACACTCAACTCCATTTTCCTAAAAATCCCATGCATCAAAATATTAGATAAGGAGCAGTCGGCATTTGATTTCTAAAAGGCAAAATATGAGTGCACACAAGGGCGCTGAGCGTGATGATTCTCTTAAGCAACTCTATTTTTAAAGTATCAACAGCCTCATTTTCTGGGGAGATTACTGCATGTAGGAGGAGCTCGGCTGTGCAACAAAAGCTAAATTAGGGAGCACAAAAGGCCGGGGTTTTATCTGATGAAGAGGTAACCCAGCACCCGTGCTTTTCCAAGTGCCTCGGTGGTTATGTCAAATGGCTCTGATACCAAGGGCCCCCTGGAAGCAGAACCCCATTAAGACGGGGCGTAGAACACAGGCCACTGACGGAAGCTGCATTTCCACCACTGGCAAGAGCTGCACACGCCTGACTGGGGCCCCAGCTTCCAACCAACAGGTGATGCGCCGCTC